GCCACTCTTCGCTCCTCTGCTGCACGACGGCGACGATGAGGATCAAGTGTAGTATCTGTTAAGGACGACGACGATGACGATCAAGTGTCTGCCACTCTTCGCTCCTCTGCTGCACGACGGCGACGATGAGGATCAAGTGTAGTATCTGTTCCGATTGGTTTGAAAAACGACGCATGCACGTGCGCGCGCACCCCAGAGAGAGAGAGAGACACCCCAAACTAACTAACTATCCCGAGCATGTGTGTATGTGTGTGTGTGTGTGTGTGTGTGTGTGTTATGGAAACAGGACGCTACTGTGAAATACATCACAGCGAGCCACCCTTTACAACACAGCGCAGAAAACTCATCATACCATAGTAAATCACGATCTGACGCAATAAGCAATCGGAATGAAAGTACTAAAACCCAGGGATTGCTTCAAGCACAAAACTTCTTCTTTCAACATAGTCACTGTTGACCACGACCATATGCATTTCGAGACAGTGCATCTTATGACCCAAAGATAGTCAACCATGATAGGAAAAACATTCATGGGTGAGTCGAGTTCGCGGTGGAAAAAACAGGGGGGGAGGGGGGAGAGAAACAACGAAGAAAGAAATGTCGAACAAGAGATCTTGAGAAAAATGCTTATTTCATACAGGTATATAATCTGGCGAACGAAAAATTATCAACGACTGATCATTATTGACAACACTATAATTCGATCATTGTCAAAGAGAGGGTATGCTAGATTGCATAACAATCTTGAAAGGCAGCGTACCAATATATCACGCATACTACTATTCAAGCCATCCTAATATTAGAGCCTTCATCCAGCATCCTACTTAGCACAACCCCTTTATCAACGGGCGATCATCTCGCAATAACCGTCAGCATGAGCAAGTCAAAAGCTACGTAAAAAAAAAAATTGGAGCTAAGGAGGGACAAGTGCAAGGAAAAGACATCAAAGCAAAAAACGCGGAAGAAAAAAAGGGGTGGAAAGGATAAAACAGAAACCAAGTTAAAGCAGGTTCGTAGCAAGATGTCAACTCATTATCTCTCCTCTCGAAAACGCAGACCCAGCTATGCACCCTTCGCCATCAGCAATCATGCTAAAATCTGGAATAATACTGCAGGTCACGCCGTAACTCTTGAAGCCCCACTCCTGTGTACATATCATCATACATATCCCACGAGATCGGCGGAACACTCACTATTGATAAGGATCAGGATAACCCTGGGCGCAGCGCGAAATAAACTTTAAGGACGATTCCATTCGCCGAGCCAAGCAGAAGGATATGATCGCAACATAAAAAGAGAGTCAAAACGCCCCTACTCACAACCGGGTTGCTTGACATAAAATCCCGTCACTCATTACTCAAGCAAACTGAAAGCCACCAACCTCACCGCCTGACATATACGTACAAGGTGGGCATCATCATACCACCATGTTTTGCCTGCTCTCACCCTAAGCCCATGCACATAACATCTTACTACTTACAAGACATGTGGAGCCATTTGCAGCTTCTCCAGAAGGTACTCTTGATCGCAAGTGCCACTCATGCCAAGACCCGCCCTCTCCTTACTCATGTACCAAATTACCAACCAACCTAGCGGAGATCTCCACTACTACGAAGCATGCAGTTAATCAGGGGGCGTGGCGCAATAAAAAATCATCAACAGTGAAGATGATCATACTCGTAGAGCAATGCAGAGAAACGCGAACATGACACCAAGCGGAAGCCATATCACCAACACCCTCCCTGGACCCGCACGACATATACCATCTTCACCCCATGCCCTTAGCACAAAAAGATGGAACCAATCAGTGGCCATGAAGAACGTCATCATCGCCATACCAATCCAAACACCAAAACAAACGAAAAAGAATGCTCCTACAATCTCCATCATTTCATTCCCGAGCGCAGAATCTTGTTTGCAGAGATCTTCCAGTGACGTTCCTGGGGTCGCAAAATGACTTGCAATCACCGCAGTGGAGATTCGATAATTCCATAAGAATGAAGAAGGCCAACAACGCGAGGAAGATTGCGAAGATTGCAACAATGGCGACCGAGACATGTGTAGCATCCATGGCTTACGCGCCCTTGGGCTTCTAAAATCGTCTGGACTAGGAAGCAAGCGTCAATTCCTAAGACTCATACAAGCAAGCGCACAATCATCACAATAATAGAGCAAAAGCACGGTAAGTAGTAATCAAAACAGATATGGGAAAGAATTTTTAAGGAGAGATAGATA